GGGGATGAGTTTTCTTAATTTAGTTGGTTTATTTTTCTATATACTATTTACGCGCTCGCAGGTCGCCAGAGTTAATATCCCGTTCCTGCTTTATTTTGCTTTTGAAAATCAGAAATGCTGTAAGCTAACATTTCTTTTTTTTATAAATGGCATGCAAGAAACTCCAACTAGTGTGTTAACTTACGTAAATAATTGTTTGTTTTATTGTCAAGAAAGAAAGAAATGGTTCCCTTTTTTTGTTCTGGGAATAAGAATATAAATATACATATACACAAATATATACATACATACACACACAAATGTGTATACACACACACACACACACACACACACACACACACACACACACCACACACACACACACAGTTGTTTGTATAAGTCCTAAGCTCTTTTCCAGTTTCATGATTTCATAATGAATTACATTATTATACGGTAAACCCTTGAATTATTTTATTTGTGACATTTAGTTTTCTGCTTTTTGATGAGGAACTCAAACTCAGTGTCCTTTATTTGTTGACAGATGACTTAATAAACAAAAGGATATTTCTTACTGTTGAAGATATGTTATGCAGAATTCCCATAGCATTCCTATAAGTAGATAGAAATTTTCTATGCGGTTTTCTATGGTTTCCTTTTGAGAATAAGGGACCATCAATTAACTGAATGGAAGTACGTGTCAGTGTAATGTACTCTCTGCCCATCATTCTGTCTATAAAATATTTCTTAGTTTTAATTTATATTATGATGCATGTCTAATAGATACATCTCTCCTGAAACAAACATTCCTTGGGGTCCTTAGCAATTTCTAAGAACGTTGACGGGATCCTGAGACCAGTTTGAGAACACTGTGCCAGCCCAGTAAATTCAGTCATATGCTATTTTAAAACGACATTTTAGAATAATTCATGACAGTGTGCTTAATGACACAACGCCCTTTGATTTTTCTCCTTTAGGTTTATTTGCTGCTCTAGACACTCATTCAGATTTGGGTGTTATTTCTTATGGTGTTTCCATGACGACTTTGGAAGATGTATTCTTAAAGCTAGAAGTTGAAGCGGAAATTGACCAAGCAGGTAAAAACAAAACTAAGGGCACGTTTTAGGCAATGAGCCAGACAGATAGTGATCAAGACAGACAACTGTAAAGCATGTGGAATTTATATTTTGGGGAAGAAAGGGTAGAAATAAACAGGTAAATAGATATTTACAGAGAGTGATAGGAGTTATGAAGGGATTAGTGGGGCAGTCTCAGGAGGCAGATAGCTTAGATGGCACTTCAGGCGGGACTGGGTTGGGATGATACCTAAAGTGAGGCCTGAACGGCAAGGAAAGTGAGATTTCATCGCAGAGCCTTCCAGATAAAGGGACTTGCTACTGCAGAGGTGTTGGTTGAGGGATGGGTTGGATGTTTCTGATGACAAAGAAAGGCCGCCGTGGAGAGCCAAGGAGAGGGTAGCATGTAGTGAGCTCAGAGCTGGAGGTCAGGGGCCACATCATATTTAGTCTTTGAACATGTTTAGTCTGGAAAAACATTTTGTTTGTTTTCTTAGTGTGATATGAAGCTACCAGAGAGTTTGAAAGCAAAGGGGTCGCGTGATCTGATTTGCTTTTTTAAAAACTGCATTCCGCTTGTTGAATGATGAGTGGATTTAAGGGAAGTGTGGAAGCAGAAGAGCAGCTAGGAAGCTATTGCAGTTCGTCTTAGTTTGAACTAGGATAGTTGTGGCAAGAGAGAAACATGCACAGCGCGGGCTTCTCCTAGAGGCACTGCTGGTGACCTGCAGATGATGGGTTAGCGCTAGGGGTTGAGGAACGGGAGGTCAAGAATAGTGTCTAAGCTTTTGGCTTGAGAACCGGAAATGGAATTGCCCTTTCCTGAGAAAGGGGGAGCAGCAGGTTTGTGGAAAGAAGGACTCCAGGTGTGAATTTCGGTTATACTGTGGAGAGGTTTAGTAGACATCCCAGTGGAGATGATGCCTGTGGGCTGTTTGATTCACACACTTGGAGCTAAAGGAGGGCGTTGGGCTCAAGGTACAAACGCTGGATCCGCCTGTGTACCGATAGCCCTGTGGGACTTGATGAGGTGCTTCGGTGGTGAGCGTGGACGCGGTGGAGGGAAGCCCCGAGGGTGAGCAGTGAAGGGCCAGGGAGGGCTGACCGGGAAGGCACCAGTAGTGCCTTTTCTGTCTTCACGAAAGGAGACGCGGGAGCTGGGGCAGCGTGGTGTTTGAGGCAAGAGCGAGTGGGCAGTTCTCTGCTGACTGCTGTGAAGAGGAAGATGGCGGCACAAAAGGGGGGTTTGGTAGCTTAGAAGACGGGGAATGGGGAAGGGTGGGAGCCGGTCGTGACCTTGACACGAGTGATTTCAGTGGTGCGGTCGAGATCCGTGAGGTTTAAGCTGAGCATGGGTTGAAGGGTAGCGAGACTGGTGTGGTGCTGGGTCCTGAGAGTGAAGGAGAAAGAATGTTTCTCTCAAACGTGGAGGAAGAAAGGTGAGCTCACGATGAGGACGTAGGGGCGGATTGCAGCTAGAGAAGGAAAGTTCACGTGAAAATGTTGGATCAGTTGGAGCGATAGCAAGATCTTAAATTTGGGCATCTGTCAGTTTGATGAAACTGAGTAGAGATAAAGGTATGGGCATGGACGGAATAAAGGGAGCTAGAGGTCAGGATATAGAATGCGTTAGCAGTGCACATGTCTGTAATACCGAGGATGGTGGAGAAGGTGCTTGTGTGTGTGTTGCTCAGTACTTTGAGGCATACGAGGTAGTTTCCAGAAACGTCTGGGAAGAGAGTGGGAGTGAAAATGAGAAGGGTGAGCTCTGTTCAGGTGTTATTCACTTTTCTCTATAGTACCTTTAAGCCCATTATGCAAAATAAATTTACCTCTAACATCAGCTTGCTTTCAGTTTGGTCGATTTTAATTGTTTTATTTTTCAAAGATTAGTATATATCAAATTCTGTAGAAGGCCAGTTGGAGCTCACTGAGTACTATGATTGTGATACGCAGTATTTCAGGACCTGCTTTTAGTTTGATTAGTCGCTGTGTCGGGAAGACAGGGACTGGACTTGTCCATCTGCTGAGTCATCCGTTCAGGCTGTTGAGTTGGTAAGATGCCAAGGCAGCCAGGTTGTACTTAAATATTGTTTTATACAGTATATTCTGCTCCACTCTTAAAATTTTTAATGTTTGCTCATTTCTTAAACTTAGCCTAAGTCCTTCTTCATACCGAAACCAGTTTTCGTCTCTTTTTATTATTTTTCGTCTCTTTTAAGTCAAATCACTCTTGTGAAAATAACGTATCTTGATTTCTGTCCCCATCCAGTAGTTTTGTCAGGTTTTGGTCTAATGGAATCAATCATATCGCATGTCTCTTTTGCTTATATTTATTCTGGTTTCTTTTACTTAACGTAATGTTTGTAAGATCAAGCTACTATGGTTATACAGTAGTTTGTTCACGTTCATTGTTCTACACTATTCCATTACAGGAATATTTCATGACTTATTCTTTCAACTGATGACAGACATTTGGGTTCTTTCCAGCGTGTGGCTATTGCATAGGGTACTAGCTAAGGATATTCTTGTACATGTGTTTCAGTGAGCCTCTGTACATAATTCTGTTGGATTTGTACCTGAGAGAGAATGTCCTGGGTCATAAGCTGTGCACATGTTCAGTTTTGATAATATTGCCAAAGTATATGGCTGTCCCCTTTGTCCTGTATCACTGCCAGGTGTTTTGCTGCTTTGAAATTTACATGCTTCAGAAAGGTTTTCATCTTTTTAAGGAATATAACATAAGTTTCTATCGTTTTGTTTTGGCAAATAGATTATAGTGTATTTACTCAGCGGCCACCAGAGGAAGAATTGCATTCAAAACCCTTTGATGAAATGGAGCAGAGCTTGCTTATTCTTTCTGAAACCAAGGCTTCTCTGGTGAGCACCATGAGTGTTTGGAAACAGCAGGTGTTTAAAATTGCAAAGTTTCACTTCCTTACCTTGAAACGTGAAAGCAAATCAGTGAGATCAGTGTAAGTATATTGGCTCTTCCGTCTGATGAGTTGTTTTTTTTAAGGATACAAACTAGATTTACTATCTTAGTCTTTAAAATGTAGACATGTGTAAATAATCTGTGTGGTTTTGAAAGATTAAAATGGTAATTTCACAGTGTCAGAGAAAAAAATTATACCTCTAGTAATTTCATTGGATATCATTAGAGCCTTAACTCTTTTTTAAAACTAGCATTTTTTTGGTCTCATCTATAAAATGAGGGAGTGACAAATAATTTTCTCTAATTGTGTAATTTTTGAATCACTGTCATTGTATTTAAATTTTATTTTGAGTTTACATTTTTCACAGTTGTTTTGCCTCTGTTACTAATATTTATGACCGTTTTTTGGTAAACAGCAGGAAGAATAAGTTTTATCCTTATTTATCAGGTGAAGAAACGGAAATATTAAGAAGGGCTTATAGCGGGTAGAACTGGGATCAAAATGACGTCTTTTCCACTTAGCCGCGTCTGTCACTTAGGTTCCCATGGGCTGCTAGACGCTGAATTATTTAGAAGTTACGTTAAGTACTTTTATACACCACGCTGTCTTGTTAGATCCAGAATGGCGGTAGAAATAAAACTTAATAATCAAGAATAAGAGTTTTGTTATATGTTTGAAATATGCTGAATTCATTTGCTTTTTGCCCAAAAATATCGAAGAAATGTCAGTCACGTGTCTGATTTATTCCTGTGTCAGCATTAGTGAGAGAAAAACCTTTGTGTCCGTTTATTTAATTGAATACTACTCTCATAAAATACTCCCTGAAAAACGATAAAAGAATCTCGGCTCCGGCTGCCATAACAAAGACTGGGTGGCTTCAACAGCAGAAGTTTATTTTCCCACAGTTTCCGAGACTGGGAGTGAGGTCAGGATCCACGTGGTCGGGTCCTGTTGAGGACGTTTCCTGGCTTGCAGCTGGGCACCCCACCCCCACCCCGCCCCCTCACTGTGTGTGCACAGGGCACCAATCCTGTCCTGAGGCCATGCCCTCGTGACCCCATCTGACCCTGATGACCTCCCGGAGGACTCATCTTCGGATGCCATCGCTTTGGGGCTTAGGGCTTCTGTGTATAAATTTGGGAGGAGGGTGACAGACATTCAGCCTACTACGAGAAGTGTTCCATGGTCAAATCTGTATTGACCATGCATGTAGAAAATATTGTAGCTTACATTTCCTCTCTTAAAGATTTGTCCATTAGCATGTAAAAACACATGAGCCGTTCTATGGTAAAGAAATCATTTCAACTTTGTTTAACTTGGAGTTTCCAGATAGTTTTTAATCATGAATTTTGTTTTTAACCTAAAACACCCACTAACTTATTACGGAACTAGAGTTCAACGCACTATGCTTCTGGCAGTGCTGATATAGGTCCACTTACAACGATTTAAGAATGACTTAAAATTATAGGGTTTCTGAAAATTATAAAATGCTGATATGTGATAACCTAAGCTCTCTCTACCCACTGCTGTGACACCTGTCACACACACTGTAGAGATATTTTGCAGGCTGAGATGAAAAGTTACCTGTCTCGGGTCTTCCCTGGTGGCGCAGTGGTTGAGAGTCCGCCTGCCGATGCAGGGGACACGGGTTCGTGCCCCAGTCCGGGAAGATCCCACATGCCGCGGAGCGGCTGGGCCCGTGAGCCGTGGCTGCTGAGCCCGCGCGTCAGGAGCCTTTGCTCCGCAACGGGAGAGGCCACAACAGTGAGAGGCCCGCGTACCGCAAAAAAAAAAAAAAAAAAAAAAAATTTACCCGTCTCTCAGGTGGAAGGGCATTTTGAGTGGTTATAGTAGAATTATGTGCTGGGCCAGCTGCACATCATGGTCCTTATAACTCACTGTAGAGGAGAAATGGAAATTGATGTGGTTAGGATGACATTTCAAAGATACCAGTCATCCAGAGTTTTCACTGTATTTTTATTTTCTTCACTGTATCTAAAATATTTTTGTATCATATATTTTCTAACATATTTGGAGAGTACATAGAATAGAGGTAGGGCAGGGAATAGTTCCTTCAGGAGAATAGAGATATAAATGTGACATAATGTGTATTTTTTTTTAAGTTATAACTACAGGTTTACATGCCCTATAAAAATTTCAGCGTGGCTCTGATCCAAAATATACTTTTATAACTTTTAATTTTATTATTGAATATTGGCTTTCTTTCCATTATTGTCGTGAGACCATTTTGGAGAGTCGGATTTCTACTCCCAAGTGTGAATTTTTCAAGTTTTTTTTTTTCCTTTTATTTTCTTTCTTTTTCTTTTTCTTTTTTAAATGCGTACCTTTTAACTGTCATGTGAAGGAAGATTGTTTTGTAGCTTTACATATTAATGTGCCTTGAACTGTGTATTTTTTTTCCTTTCAGGTTGCTTCTGCTTTTAATTTTTTTCGCAGTTCAGATTTTTATGTTTTTGGTGCATCACTCTTTTAAAAATGCTGTTGTTCCTGTCAAACTTGTTCCAGACTTATACTTCCTAAAACCTGGAGATAAACCTGATAAATACAGAACAAGTCTGCTTCTTCAAAATTCTACCGGTGAGAGTATGTGCAGGTTTGTGAATGTGTGTTGGTGGGGCCTGGGGTGAGAGGTAGATATAGGCCAGAGATTTGGATTTTAGAAATATATATATATGTTAAAGGCATGGTCTGTGTGCATGAACCTAAATTAAGTAAAACTCCTCACTGATGCTGAGTAATATATTACAGAAATGAAATTTTGGTTTAAGTGTAGATGACAGTTTTTAAAATATTCTGACTTATACTGTATATAATCATAAATTTTCCTTTTATAAGAGTAGCGACATTATTCTCAGAGCAGCATGTTTCATCTCAAAGTTTATATGCGCAAAATAAACTTCAGAAGTTGAAAAACCCTCTTTAGAAAGAGTTACGGCATGTAATATTTATGCAGTTATATATCTAAATAGAAGTGTTTAAACGATTTTTAAGGACTATCTGAAAAACTAGAACTAAGGACAATTGTCTTAGAAATCTCTATAATCAAATACATTGAATCTGTAATGGATGTTTTTGGACTTGCTGTTGATTCTTTTTACTACCTAATTAAATCAAATATGAAAGAAATTTTAAAACATACGGCTTTGCGCAAACCTCAGAATAAATTTTTAAAAACCTGATAGAGGACTTCGATTTTCAAAATATTAAAACCTAATTCAGAATTTGACGTGAATTAGATGTTTCTAGACCATCTCCCATCTGTGTGGATAGTTTATAGTCCCAAGGTTCTTGAAGAGGAAAGTGAGCTAACTCTGTAGTTTACAGTAAAACAGAAGCAGCTTCATTTGCTTATCTTGCTGAACTATGTTGGAAAGTTGCATTTCGTATACCCTTTCTACGCGCACGAATTCTTTGGAGTTTAACATTTCCCAACACTTCACCTGCATTCTAGTATCTTTCCTTTTTGATTCACTATGAACTGAAAAGCTTTGCCCGGTGTTAAAATAATAGTCATAGTTAGGGACAGTTACAGATGGCCGTTACGATCATCACTGTTCAATTCTAGCTCTCTGTTTGTGACGTAACCTTTATTCTTTTGGAGGAAGAAGGTATTTAGTGATAGAAAACACTCTTGAATAGAAAATGTTATGTTTCTCAATTTATTGCTCCCATTAGAATTCTTATTTTGGTTTCAATGTACATTTCACATTGCTGAAAGATAGTACTACATGGAGCCTCACACTCTGATATTGTGACTTTTTGTGTGTGTTTGGGGAATTGTACATTATCTCAAGTATTTCTGCTTGGCGTTCACTCTCACTGATCTGCAGAAATTATAGTATTTTCAAAGTTTTGTCCCATCTGTTAATTTTAAGTATTTCTAGAGTTGCTTACATCCGTCTGTCTGTCTTTCTACCTATCTGTCTCACATTTTCCTAGACCTTGTTGTTGGCCCTAAAGGCACATTTCCTTTTGGGTTCACTGGTCCCTGTGTGTATGTACTGGGTGGTACCTTCTCCTCCTGGCAAAGCTTTCTGTTATCACGGGTGATACCGTTCCCTCAGTTATAATAGAGCCCTCTTCTCGAGAGGACAGAGCATCTCTGGCATCTGGAAATGAGAGATCAGTTAAGGCACTAGGTTGGGAGTGGATGTCTTGTCACTAAAAGCACCCTTCTCTCTGACACTCGGGTTTGTTGCTGAGTCTGAGCCACCGGCCATGCTGCTCAGTTACTGCTAGTGTTTTCCTTTGTTTGGTTTTGATTTCTCTCAAAGCCACACTTGTCCGTCCTTGAATCCTGGCTTTTGTGATGATGGACAGAGAACTGTTTCCACTCATCAGGCATGTTGGTATGGATTTAGACCTCGGGCAGGATTCAGAATCTCCCCCTTAGCTCCAGGCTATTTAGAGAATATAGATGGAGACCTGGTTATGGGTTTTACTATTTTAGAGTAGTAACGCAGTTGACATTTATACAGTTTCTCTGTGCAAATCATGCAGCAACCCTCCAGGGAGTGATGCCACCTAACTCCACACCCTGGCTCCTACCTCTCTGAGCATGGCAGGTTACCTTGTTACATAAAATTGCCAGATAGATTTGTACTCTTACTGTTTAACCAGATCTCACATATTATAGGTAAACCCTGAATGCGAGTAGTATCAGTAGCAGCAGCAGCAGCTGCAGTTGGCGCAGTAGCTGTGTGTCAGGCTCTGTTCTGAGGTCTGCGTGTCTGGACCTGGATTTGAATTCATGCTGACTGGTCCCAGAGCCAATGTTCTTAATCATGTCTTAGCTAATGGGGAGCAAATACTTCTTCAAAAAGAGAGCTCTGGGCTTCCCCGGTGGCGCAGTGGTTGGCAGCCTGCCTGCCGATGCAGGGGACACGGGTTCGTGCCCCGGTCCGGGAGGATCCCACATGCCGCGGAGCGGCTGGGCCCGTGAGCCGTGGCCGCTGGGCCTGCGCGTCCGGAGCCTGTGCTCCGCGACGGGAGAGGCCACGACAGTGAGAGGCCCGCGTACCGCAAAA